ACAGCAGCACAAGTATTATTCTTATTATATAAGTCTATTCAATTCTTTATAGGGCTGTAGCGGCATGCAGCCCTTAGGGCCTCCCCCTCCCTTCGGGGGTATGGGAGGCTCCCAGCCTCCTCCAGTAGCTGGGGGAGGACCTGCTGCTGCTGCTGCTGCTGCTGCTGCTGCTGCTGCTGCAACTGCTGCTGCAGTGGCAGCAGGTGCTGTCCCTCCTCCGCCGCAGCTGCAGCAGCAACAGCCCCAGCCACCTGCCTACTCTCCTCCTCCTCCTGGTTATGCGGGCCCCCGGCCCCCGCCTCCTTCAGGGTTTGTTGGTGCTGCAGCGCCTGCTGTTGCTAATCAGAGAGGCGCTATGCCTGTTCCTGCATGGATGCAGCAGCAGCAGCAGCAGCAACAGCAGCAGCAGCCGTTTCCTTTCAGGCCTCCCCCTTTCCCGCAGCAGCAACCGCCGCCGCCCGCACCCCCTATGGCAGCAGCAGCAGCTGCAGCAGCAGCAGCAGTAGCAGCAGCAACCGCAGCACCTCCTCCTCCTCCTATGAATTTTCAGCAGCAGCACCTTCCACCACAGGGTGCGGAGAAGAAAGAGCAGCAGCAGCACATACCCCCTCAGCCCCCTCAGCCGCCTCAGCCGCCCCAGCAGCAGCAGCAGCAGTTTATGAAGCCCCCTCAGCAGCAGAATGTGCAGCAGGGTGTGCGAGCTAAAGCAAAGACGCAAGAGGAGTTGCTGCAGGAGAAAGCGAGGAAGTGGCAGCAGCTAACTTCAAAGAGATATTCTTCACGTCAAATATCGGGGTGTACGTACACCGAGAAGGAGCCTATGCCTCCTGAACATCTTCGGAAGTTAGTTAAAGACCATGGAGACATGAGCAGCAGGAAGTTTAGACATGATAGAAGGGTTTATCTAGGGGCTTTGAAGTTCTTGCCGCATGCAGTGTATAAACTATTAGAGAATATGCCGATGCCGTGGGAGCAAGCTAGAAATGTTAAAGTTTTATATCATTCAACAGGGGCTATAACGTTTGTTGCTGAGGTTCCCTTCGTTATAGAACCTGTTTATTTAGCTCAGTGGGGCTCTGTTTGGATACTAATGAGGAGAGAGAAGAGAGACAGACGGCATTTCAAACGCATGCGCTTCCCGCCGTTTGATGATGAAGAGCCGCCCCTTGACTACGGCGAGAACGTTCTTGCAGTGGAGCCTTTAGATGCAATTAGAATGGATCTAGATGAAGAAGAAGATGCCCCTGTAGCAGATTGGTTGTACAGCAGCAAGCCGCTTCAATACGATGCAGCATATGTTAAGGGTCCTAGCTATAGGCGGTGGAGGCTGGAAGTGCAGCAGCTAGCTGTACTGCAGCGTCTTGCTCATCAATTGCTTTCAGATTTACAAGACACAAATTATTTTTATTTGTTTAATTTAGAGTCTTTCTGTACAGCAAAGGCGTTAAACTTAGCTATCCCTGGAGGCCCTAAGTTTGAACCTTTGTTCAGAGATGTGCATGAAGAAGATGAAGACTGGAATGAGTTTAACGACGTCTGCAAGATCATCATTCGTCAGCAAATACGTACAGAGTACCGCGTAGCGTTTCCTCACCTTTATAACAACAGACCTAGACGCGTCGTGCTGCCTCCTTATCACTCTCCTGCTGTCTCCTTCGTTAAACCTGAAGACCCCGACCTTCCTGCCTTTTACTTCGATCCCATCATCAACCCCCTCCCGGCCTATAAAATGAATGCTTATACTGACGCACTCGTTGGTATGCTTTATATATGTATATATATATTTATTTATTTATTTATTTATTTATTTATTTATTTTTATTTATTTATTTATTTTGTTTATGGATGGAGATATATGGAAATGCTTTGCGATGTTTGTGAGGCTGCTTTTGTATAGATTTTATTTTGCATTTGTGAGGTGTATAGAGATATACAGCTTCTTGCAATGCATATATATATATATAGAGTATATATATGAATATATATCTATGTATATATATAGATGTGCATATAATACAGCTGATTGAGAGTAGTACGATGTTTTTTCGTTGATGTTGATGAATGCCGAGTGACGTTCAGATATCTGCTTATTTTTATGTTTATGTTTATTTTTATTTTTATTCTTTTTATTTCTTGTAGATGGAGGTGCAGCTGGTTTTGTTTGCTCAGTAGAATGAAGCGTATAGCAGCCCTACGCAATATTAATATTAATATATCTTAATAATATGTGCTAATATTAATATATTAATAATATATTATACATATAATGTTGAGTGTGTGTTTGCTGTTTATTACTGCGATCTGCAGATCCTTCAATAGTCGAAGGCTTACAATTACCTGCTGTATTGCGGCCTTTCTTAGAAGAGAGCCCTCTCTGTACAGACACAACAGCAGCGGGTATTTCTCTTTACTGGTCTTGCAGGCCTTTCAATCTGCGTGCAGGACGCATGAGGAGAGCACAAGATGTTCCTCTTGTTCAGACGTGGTTTAGAGAACATGCACCACAGAATTATCCAGTAAAGGTTAGGGTTTCGTATCAGAAGTTACTGAAGTGCTGGGTGTTGTCGCATCTTCACTCACGACCACCCAAGAGTTTGAAGAAAAGGAATTTATTCCGAGTGTTTAAAACTACAAAATTCTTTCAAACCACGGAGATCGATTGGGTGGAGGCTGGGCTGCAAGTTTCTCGTCAAGGTTATAACATGCTGAACCTCCTTATACACCGCAAGAACTTGAATTACCTTCATTTAGACTATAACTTTAACTTAAAGCCTGTCAAGACCCTCACCACCAAAGAAAGAAAGAAATCTCGCTTTGGAAATGCCTTCCATCTCTGCAGAGAAATACTAAGACTTACGAAACTTACCGTTGACTCTCACGTACAATTCAGGCTGGGGAATGTTGATGCATTTCAGCTGGCCGATGGTCTTCAGTACATCTTCGCGCATGTTGGACAGCTCACAGGGATGTATCGGTAAGTATTTATTCAAAAAAACGAGAAAAAACTAATAAATAATAAAATACTCCAGTGGAAACCGATGCACAGACATTTTCTGCACGGACCTGCGCATACACCCCAACGCGTCGAGGCATTTCATGGGTTTCTTTCGGCGCATTTTCTTTGTTTTTTTGAGTTATTTTTGCATATTGAGATGCGGTGGAGCCGTATTTGATGGCATTAGGGTTAATTCCTGCATTTTGGGTGTTTATTTCAATGGGTTTCTGTTTTCATTCAGTGGAATGCGGTGTATATTTGCGTGTATATGCCGCGATTTTCAGGTACAAGTACCGTCTCATGCGTCAGGTGCGCATGTGCAAGGACTTGAAACACCTAATATACTATCGTTTTAACACAGGACCTGTAGGTAAAGGCCCTGGGTGCGGCTTCTGGGCCCCTGGATGGAGAGTGTGGTTGTTCTTTTTACGCGGTGTATTGCCTCTGTTGGAGCGCTGGCTGGGGAATTTGTTAGCCCGTCAGTTTGAAGGGCGCGTATCAAAGGGAACAGCGAAGACGGTGACGAAGCAGCGCGTTGAGTCACACTTCGATTTAGAACTCCGTGCTGCTGTTATGCACGACATTCTAGATATTATGCCAGAGGGTGTAAAGGCTTCAAAAGCTAGAACTATTTTGCAGCACTTGTCGGAGGCGTGGAGGTGCTGGAAGGCAAATATCCCCTGGAAAGTACCAGGGCTACCAGCCCCCATCGAAAATATGATCTTAAGGTCAGCCCTAAACCCTAAACCCTAAACCCTAAACCCTTGGATGGAAACCCTAAATGCCCGCATGCCTCATGTATACTTATATATATATATATATATGCATATCTTTTTCTTTCTTTTTGTCTTCCTTTCTTCTCTCTTTATCTATCTATCTCTGTTTTGTCACACTCTCTCTCTCTTTGCTTCACACTCTCTCTTTGCTTTATCTGCCTCCCTTTTCTTATCTTTTTTTCTCTCTCCCTCTCTTTCTAATTTCTCTCTCTACCACTTCATCACTCGCCACCCTTTAACCCAATATTTCTCTCGATCGGCATCTTTTTGTGTTTCCACTGATATGCATCTATACATACCTATATCTATACATTAATATATATATATATATATATATATGCATTAATATATATATTTATACATGTATATGCATCAATATATACATGTATATATAATATGCATTAATATATATATTATATGCGATGAATGTATGTGAAGATGAAGAGGTATATATATACATAATATATATATATACCTTAACAAATATATATATATATATATATTTTCATATGATTGTGATGAAGGTATGTGAAGATGAAGGCTGACTGGTGGACGAACGCAGCATATTATAATCGAGAGAGGATTAGGCGGGGTGCGACAGTTGATAAGACAGTGTGCAGAAAGAATTTGGGTCGGCTGACTCGTTTGTGGTTGAAAGCAGAGCAAGAAAGACAGCATTCTTACTTGAAGGACGGGCCCTATATAACGGGTGAAGAGGCTGTTGCAGTGTATACAACTGCTGTTCACTGGTTAGAGTCAAGAAGGTTTACGCATATACCTTTCCCTCCTTTGAATTATAAACATGATACAAAGCTGCTTATATTAGCACTTGAAAGATTAAAAGAATTCTATTCTGTTAAATCAAGACTTAATCAAAGTCAAAGAGAAGAATTAGGGTTAATTGAACAAGCTTATGATAACCCTCATGAAGCTCTTTCTCGTATAAAACGACATCTACTTACTCAGAGGGCTTTTAAAGAGCTTCGCTTAGAGTTTATGGATCTATACTCTCATTTAATCCCTATCTATGAGATAGATCCGCTCGAAAAGATTACAGACGCATACTTAGACCAGTATCTCTGGTATGAAGGCGATAGCAGACATCTCTTCCCTTCTTGGGTCAAACCCTCAGACAGCGAACCTCCTCCTCTTCTCGTCTTCAAGTTCTGTCAGGGTATTAATAATTTAACTGACGTGTGGAATACAGACGACGGAGAGAGTCTTGTGCTACTCGAAAGCAAGTTCGAAAAGGTAAGCTCTCATTTAGCCTTATTTAGCCTTATTTAGGGTTTAGGGTTTAGGGTTTAGGGTTATTTAGGGTCTGGGGTTTAGGGTTATTTAGGGTTATTTAGGGTTATTTAGGGTTATTTAAGGTTATTTAGGGTTTGTTTGTCTCGTTGAAGTCTGTTGATACAGTTCAGATTGTTTGATTTTAATTAATTGTGTATTGTTCATAGTTGGGTATAATATTATGTATTGGGGTATTGCTGATTATTTATTATTATTATTTATCGCTTATTAATATTTAGTATTATTATTATTATTAATTAATTATTAGTTATGAATATACGATGAGAGTGATGAGTGTGTGCATTTCAGGTGTACGAGAAGGTGGATCTAACGTTGTTGAATCGTCTTCTACGTTTAATTGTTGATCATAACGTAGCGGATTACATTACTGCGAAGAACAACGTTAGCATAAGTTTTAAGGATATGTCTCACGTGAATTCGTTTGGGTTAATCAGAGGGCTGCAGTTCTCTTCATTTGTCTTTCAATATTATGCTCTCATCCTTGACCTGCTACTCTTAGGTCTTACCCGAGCAACAGATATTGCAGGGCCCCCAGCCCTTCCAAATGAATTCTTATCTTTCACCGATGTACAGACAGAAACTAGACATCCAATTCGTCTCTACTGCAGGTAAACTCCTCCCTCCACACAATGTATAGCTAGCTAGCTAGCTAAAGAGAGAGGAAGCGCTTAGACATGCAACTATCTAGCTAGCTAGCTAGCTGGCTAGATAGGTAGGTAAATGGATCGATGAGCGATGAGGCATTGAAGAGGAATATGTCTTTTGCAGTACTTTTGTTTACCTTTCCTTTTCTTCTTTGTTTGGGGTGTACATGCAGATACATCGATCGGTTCTGGGTTGTGTTTAAATTCACAAAAGAAGAAAGCAGAGATTTAGTGCAGAGATATCTCACAGAAAACCCTGACCCCAACAACGAAAACGTCGTCGGATATCCAAACAAGACCTGCTGGCCCAGAGATTGCCGGATGCGCAGGTAAAGCAAACCCTAAACCCTAAACCCTAACCTCGAAACATTGTGTACACCGCGTAGGAGACCCGATGGGGTTAGAACCTGTGTCTCTGTGTTAAAGTTGAGGGTTTAGGTTTAGGGTTTAGGTTTAGGGTTTAGGGTTTGCAATTTGTTTGTGCTGCGAGTCTCTTCGTTTGAATTTCACTGTTTACTTCCCTGTTGACAGCTGCACTGCATGCGTTTCTTTTGGCTAGCTAGCTAACTACCTAGCTAACTAACTAGCTACCGAGCTAGCTAGCCAGCTAGCAGGTTAGAAGGATAGATAGATAGATATAGTGTTTAGGCATTGAAGAGAAGCGCATCCTTAGCACTGCTTTGGTGTGTATTTCTTTGCTTCGTTGGTTGATAATATGTTTATAGAATGATTATGATATACTAACACAAGCATTTATGTATTTATTTAAATGAAATAAGCGTTTAATGCCTAATACTTAGTGCTGATCGTTTCGCTTGTTTTGCAGAATGAAGAGGGATGTGAATTTAGGACGAGCGGTTTTCTGGGAGATTTCGAACCGTCTTCCTCGTTCATTAACGACATTAAATTGGTCTTCTTCTTTTGCTTCAGTTTATTCATTAGATAATCCAAACTTATTGTTCTCAATGGGGGGCTTTGAATGCCGCATCCTCCCGAAAGTGCGCATGCAAACTGAAGAATTTTCACAAAGAGAAGGGGCTTGGAAGCTGCAAAATGAAACAACAAAAGAATTAGCTGCACAAGCTTTCTTAAAAGTAGGAGATGAGGGTATGAGAAGATTTGAGAATCGTGTACGCATGGTTCTGATGTCTAGCGGAGCAACAACTTTTACAAAGATTGCAAACAAGTGGAATACAACATTGATATCTTTGATGACATATTTCCGTGAGGCTGTAATTCATACAGAAGCTCTGTTAGATCTTCTTGTTAAATGTGAAAATAAAATTCAAACCCGTATTAAGATCGGTCTTAACTCTAAAATGCCTTCTCGTTTCCCTCCAGTTGTTTTCTACACTCCGAAAGAGTTAGGAGGGTTAGGTATGTTGTCTATGGGGCATATATTAATCCCTCAGTCTGATCTTCGTTATAGTCAGCAGACAGACGCTGGGATTACACATTTCAGATCGGGTATGTCTCATGAAGAGGATCAGCTTATACCGAATCTCTACCGTTATATTCAAACTTGGGAGAGCGAATTTATTGAATCTCAGAGGGTATGGGCTGAATATGCATTAAAAAGAGGTGAAGCAGCAGCACAAAATAGAAGATTAACATTAGAAGATTTAGAAGATAGCTGGGATAGAGGTATTCCTCGTATTAATACTTTATTTCAAAAAGATAGACATACTCTTGCTTATGATAAAGGCTGGAGAGTGCGCGAAGATTTCAGACAATATCAACAACTTAAAGCTCATCCTTTCTGGTGGACCCATCAACGTCACGACGGTAAACTTTGGAATCTAAACAACTATAGGACAGACATGATTCAGGCTTTAGGCGGTGTAGAAGGTATATTAGAGCACACTCTCTTCAAAGGAACGTACTTCCCTACTTGGGAAGGTCTCTTCTGGGAAAAAGCTTCAGGGTAAGCCAATGCTAAAGGCATACGGTTTACAGTCTAGGGTTTTGGGTTTTGGATCTAGGGTCTAGGGTTTAGGGTTTACGACTTTCAGAGGGAAAGGGGTTTAGATTAGGGGTGCAGCAGGTCTTAGGGTTTAGGGTTTAGGGTTTAGTGGGCGCACTAGGGTGTAGGGTTCAGGGTTTTAGGGGCTTCAGGTTTCGCGGGGCTAAGTGTTTTACGGTGTAGGGCTCTTAGGGTTTTCTGAGGCTTTTCAGGGTTTTAGGGTTTAGGGTTTTAGGGTTTAAGGCTTGTAGGGTTTAGGTGTGTATGGTGTTCAGGTTTGAAGAGAGTATGAAGTACAAGAAGCTGACGAATGCGCAGAGGTCTGGACTTAACCAAATTCCAAACAGAAGATTTACTCTCTGGTGGTCTCCCACCATCAACAGAGCGAACGTCTACGTTGGTTTCCAGGTCAGCAGGGCTCTAGGGTTTAGGGTTTAGGGTTTGTGCTGGGCGGTGTACATACGGGCAAGGAGCGACATGGATGGATGCGGCCTTGGGAGGCTGTGGACGTGGGTTTAGGGTTTAGGGTTTAGGATTTGGGGTGCATGTTCAGGTGCAACTGGACTTGACTGGTATCTTCATGCACGGGAAGATTCCGACTCTGAAGATTTCTTTGATTCAGATATTCAGAGCCCATCTCTGGCAGAAGGTTCATGAATCTATTGTCATGGACTTGTGTCAGGTAGGGAGATAGTGTTTAGGGTTTAGGGTTTAGGGTTTAGGGTTTGGGGTTTACGGTTAGTAGGGTTTATGAGGCCAATTTCCCACGGGCTTGTGTTGTTTGCATTTTTTGCCGTCACCTTTTGTGCTCTTGGTTTGGTTGGGGTTTAGGGTTTAGGGTAGAGGTAGGGTTTAGGGCTTAGGGTTTAGGGTTTACGGGCAAGGATGACTGTACAGTCATGCTAATTTGGAGGGGTCGCCGTAGGCGTCTTCCTTGAAAGAAACAAATCTTCTCATTACACACCTGACGCCCAAACCCTAAACCCTAGCATCAAACCCTAAACCCTACCATCAAGCCGGAGACCATCTCAGCAAACCCTAAACCCTACATGCTGTTTATTGCACGGTTTTATTTTCATTGATGTGTGTCGTGTTTGACTACTCAATATCTGCCGCGCGTTCGTCAGTTGTCCGTTTCTTCTGGTTTAGGGTTTAGGGTTTAGGGTTTAGGGTTTATGTGTAGGTCTTTGACATGGAGTTGGATTCTCTGGAGGTGGAGATGGTTCAGAAGGAAACAATTCACCCGCGCAAGTCGTACAAGATGAATTCTTCTTGTGCTGATATTTTGTTGTTTGCTTCCTACAAATGGCCTATCTCAAAACCCTCTCTTCTCGCCGAAGCAAAAGATGTTATGGAAGGCGCCACGGCAACCAAACACTGGTACTTTCCTGCTGCTGCTGCTGCCGCAGCGAGTGGTGCTGCTGCTGCTGCTGCTGCGAATACTGTTGTTTCTGCTGCTGCTGTATTTACTGAATTTGTATTTTGGCTAAACGTGCAGTGGCATTTTATTTGTATTTGTGCTTGTCTTCATAATTTTTTGACTTACGTTTGAATTCTTTTCAATTTGGACATGAATTTGAATTGAATTTGATTAACGTTTTGTTAGCTGGGCATGCATGTGGGACGTTATTTAAGCGAATACTCAATTTTTATTGAGATTGCGTTTAATATTTCCATTGTATTTAATTCAAATTGAATTTGAATTTGGTTTTTGCATAGGCTGGACGTACAGCTGCGTTGGGGTGACTACGACAGCCACGACATTGAGCGTTACGTGCGTTCAAAGTTTTTGGATTACACCACCGACAACATGTCTATTTATCCTTCGCCTTCTGGCGTATTGGTTGGCATCGATTTGGCGTATAATCTGCACTCCGCCTTCGGTCATTGGCTACCAGGCCTCAAGCCTCTTATGCAAAGAGCCATGAACAAAATCATGAAAGTCAGCATACAATGCTGTTGCTGCTTGCTGCTGATGAGGATGCTGAGCTGATGATAAGGTTGCTGCTTCCGCTGCTGTTGTTTCCAATTCGGAAAAGAAACGCAGCTGCAATTGCTGCTGTGGCTGCCCGTATTCCTATGTTCAAAGCAGCAACATACAACAACCCATATTTATATATCACTGCTCCCTTCCCATTGCTGTTGCTGCTGCTGTTTTTGTTGGTGTGTCTGCTGCAGGCGAATCCTGCGTTATACGTGTTGCGTGAACGAATTCGAAAGGGTTTGCAGCTGTATTCATCAGAGCCTACGGAGCCGTATTTGAACTCACAGAACTATGGAGAGTTGTTTTCCAATCAAACAGTTTGGTTCATTGACGACACCAACGTCTACCGAGTCACCATCCACAAGACCTTTGAAGGCAACCTTACCACCAAACCCGTCAACGGGGTCATCTTCATATTCAATCCAAGAACAGGTCAGTGCACTCATACACATCATTCAGATATTATATATATATACGGATATTATGCATAATATAAATAATACAGAATATATATACATACATATATGGATATATTATGATAGAATATATGCCTTATCATTTGTTTTGTGTGTATTTCCGTTTTTGCATTATTTGTATTCCCTTGGTTTTCCATATATTATGAATATATTTATGTATTTGTTATTGTATTTGCATTTTTGTTTGTTTATTTTGTGTTGTGCTTTCACAGGGCAATTGTTCTTGAAGATCATCCACACATCTGTTTGGGCTGGACAGAAGCGTTTAACTCAATTGGCGCGTTGGAAGACAGCAGAAGAAGTGGCGGCTTTGATTCGTTCTCTTCCTGTGGAAGAACAGCCTAAGCAGATTATTGCAACTCGAAAGGGTATGTTGGATCCTCTGGAGGTGCATTTGTTGGATTTCCCCAACATCGTGATTAAAGGAAGCGAGTTGAATTTGCCATTCCAAGCGTTGATGAAGATTGAGAAGTTTGGAGATATGATTCTTCGGGCTACTCAACCAGAAATGGTTTTGTTCAACTTATTTGATGATTGGCTTCAATCCATTTCTGCATATACCGCATTCTCTCGTATGCTTCTATTACTCCGAGCTTTGCAAGTGAACACGGAGAGAACGAAGGTCGTTTTGAAACCAAACAAATCAACGATAACGCAGCCGCATCATATTTGGCCTAGCCTGACGGATGAAGAATGGATTCATGTTGAAGTCACATTAAAAGATTTGATTCTTGCAGATTATGCAAAGAAAAATAACGTAAATGTTGCATCTCTTACGCAATCCGAAATCCGAGATATCATACTTGGTATGGAAATCGCTCCTCCTTCGCTCCAGCGCCAGCAGATTGCAGAAATTGAAACTCAGGCCAGAGAACAACAACAGGTGACTTCAACGACAACGAAGAGCGTCAATATCCATGGAGAGGAGATCATCGTGGCCACTCAATCGCCTCATGAACAACAAGTTTTCGCTTCGAAGACCGATTGGAGAGTGCGAGCTATTGCAGCATCTTCTTTACATCTGAGGACTCAACATGTGTACGTGAACAGCGATGAAGTGGTCGACTCCGGGTGTACGTACATCATGCCCAAGAACCTGTTGAAGAAATTCATTTCCATTGCAGATCTAAGAACTCAAGTCGCTGCTTTCTTATACGGAATCTCACCTCCAGACAATCAAAACGTTAAAGAAATCAAATGTATGGTCCTTCCTCCTCAAGTAGCAAGTCATCAAGGTGTTTCCTTGCCTCAACAGCTGCCTTCCCATCCGTATCTTTCATCTCTTGAACCTCTCGGATGGATCCACACCCAGCCGAACGAGAATCCTCAACTTCTACCAAGAGATGTTCTTCTTCATGCAAAGATATTAAATGAAAATAAAACATGGGATGCAAATGTTGCAGTCGTCATCACTTGCGCATTCACCCCTGGTAGCTGCTCTCTCACTGCTTACAGACTAACACCCCAAGGATATCAGTGGGGAAAGTCCAACAAGGTAATTAATTTTTTTCTTGAAAAACAACACATCCTGTCGTTTCGTTCTTTTCATGCTTCCTTTTTTGATACTGGTGACTTTCTAATATATAAGTACACCCGACCTTTTCTATGCTATTCTATTTATAGCTTCCTTCCTTGTTCTTGCCTCGTTCAATGCAAACAGTAATATACGGCTAAATACGCATCATTCATTTTTGTCTTTTTTGTGCTTTATTGCTGATAAATGTGCTGCTTTAAAACGAGTGCAAACATGAGTACAGCTTTTTCCGTGTTATACCATCTGTGATGTATTCTTGGTTTTATGGTTTGTTGCTGGTTGTTCTTTCTCTTTGTTGTTGGCGTTGCCTTTTGTTGAAACAACGGGTGAACACAATTTAAATGAATTAAAACTCGCTCTTAATGATTTGTTTCGAAGATATGTTTTGGTGATAGTGTTTTGTTTCTGTCCTTTGCTTGTATGTGTTTTTGTTTTGTCGGTTTTGCTTGTCTTATTTCCTGTTTGACGTGTCTATTTAGTTGTTTGTTGTTTTGTGTTTATTGTTGTTGCATATAGCCTTTTGTTTGTTGTATTTTATTTTTGGTTGTCTCCCATGTATTTCTGTCTCTTTTTCTCGATTGCATGTCTTTTTGTATTTGTTTTGTCTATTGAGTTTCTTTGGTTTGTTGCATTTATGTTTTTCTTCTCAGGATAGCACTATGAACCCCGCGGGTTACGTAAAAGGACATGCAGAGCGCGTGCAGATGTTATTATCAGATGTTCTTTTAGGCTTCTTCCTTGTCCCTGCTGAGGGAGGGGGTATTTGGAATTATAACTTTATGGGAGTCAAGTTCTCGCCTTCGATGAAATACAACCTCATACTCGATACACCCAAGGACTATTACCATGAAACACACAGGTAATCTATTGTTGTTGATGCTGCTGTTGCTGCTGCTGCTGTTGTCGTTGCTGGTGGTTCTGGTGTTCATGTTGCTGTTGTTGGTGTTGCTCCTGCTCCTGCTGCTGCTGCTGCTGCTGCTCGTCTGCGGTTTAGGAATTTTGTCGATTTGTGTGCTGCTGAAATTCTTTCTCGTTCCTCTCTTGCCTTTTGTTTATTTGTTTTGCTTGTTTCTTCTTTGCTTTGTTGTTGTTTGCTGGTTTGGCTTGCTTGTTTTGAATGCCTTCGATTGTTTGCTTTTTGTTTCGTCGTTTCTTTTTCATTTTGTTTCCTTTTGTTATTTTGCAGTTTGCTTTGTGCTATCTCCCCAGCATATCAATGTGTGTTATACATTGTTTGTTTATTATGCATTGTGTTTAAATATAATTATATATTATTGGCGTGTTAGAGATATTTGAATATATATTATTGTATACTTGCATACATACACACTCGTGGCCTACATTGTACTATGCTATATTGCATCTTCTTGCTAGATTTATCTCTTTACGCTGCTCTCCTTTACGTTTTTCTACGTTCCTTCGTCTCTCGTCTATATTTCTTCATTTGTTTTTCTCTTTTCTCGCTTCTTCAGGCCGGCGCACTTTGTGCAGTTTACTCAACTTGAACAGCAAGAGGCAGACGTCGGAGACAGAGAGGATCTCTTCGCTTGATGTCTCCTAGCTGGCTAAGTGGCTAGCTAGGTGGCTAGCTGGCTGGCTGGCTGGGTAGCTAGTTAGGGGGAGGGCCTGCGCAGCAGCAGCAGGCCGGGTAGTTACACAGCAAGGTAGTAAATGAATGGGCTGGCTAGCAAGGTAGCTAGCGAGCTGTTCGCGCGTGGCTAACTGGAGGAGGTGCTAGCTAGCCAGATAACTGCTAGTCAGCACTTCTGTTCGTTGCTTTGGATTGAGTTGTTAAGCAGTTGCCTCTCTGCTGCTGCTGAGGGAGAAGAGAGGCGTAGAGGAGAAACCCCTTCTTTTAAAGAACTACAGAAAAAGGGTTTTATGTCGAGGGTTTAGGGTTTAGGGTTTCCGACTAAAAAGACGCGAAGGCACGCCTACAAACTCCCTACTAGTAGTGCTACATATACCTCACTGGCTACCTGGCTCGATACCTATATAATACAGCTATCTAGGGAGGTAGGTAGCTAGCTAGTAGCTAGCTAGGGAGGTGTTTCGCCCACTCAGTTGTCCCAGCTAGCTGTCCAAATAGAAAAGCGTTTGGTTGTTGTTAAGTCATTCCTTCACTGTCTCGCTGTTCTGTTGTTTTAAACAACACAACGCGTGCCTAGCGGTAAGCAAGGCAATGAACAATGAATGCCTCAAGCTAACTAGCAGCTAGCTAGCTAGCTGGCTAGCCAGGACTTGATTGAAGGCTAAGCAATTCGGTGGATATTAAACTCCAACTCTGGAGTGGCAAAGCGGAACGGTGCGCCGCTGTGCTGCAGCAGCAGTAGCGGCAGCAGAAGCTGCTGCTGCTGCTGCTGCTGGCTGCCTCACGTAGACGTAGCCGCACCTTTTGCATCCACAACATCTTTGGGATTACCTCCTACCCACAAATACATTATTTACGAGGCAGGGGGAGTCAACCTCTGTTGTGGTTCGGGCTGCTGTTGAGTTTCCGGCTGGCCCGGTGGCGTCACCTGCTGCGCCCCTTCTGGTCCTCTGACTTTGCTGAGATGCATGCCTCCCATTATGGCCACAATAAGAGCAAATAATCCTCCTATAATTGCTCCAAAAAGCAGATTGCGGCGTCTTGTCTTCGCAGCTGCTGAACCTCCTACTGACCCTGCTGCTGCAACATCAGAACCCTCAACTGGCTGCTTTTCCAATTCTCCTTCTGCAGCTTCTCCTGCTCCTCCAGTATTTGCTGCGCCTTCACCCTCTGCTTCCCCTGCTGCTCCTCCTGCGGCTTCCCCCCCAGCTTCCCCTGCCCCCTCCGCGCCTGCTACTTGCCCGGAGCCTTCTGGAAGCGGTGCATCACCTGTTCCCGCATTTATTGCTGCTTTTATTTGGTCTGGTGTAAGAGTCAGAACGATTTCCTCTCCAGCAGATGAATCACCAGCAGCAGCAACTGCTGCTGCTGCTGCTGCTCCCGGCTGTGCCGCTGCTGAGGGTGTGTCCCACGCCATTGGGGGAAGATGCAGGCGGCAGGGGTAGAGGGGAAAGACAGAAAGTAATTAAAAAGAAATAATTATTTAAAAAGAAAAAAGAAAAAAGAAAACACATTCATATGATGCCCGCAGACGCAGACGCCTCCCATCCCCAGCTGCTGCTGCTGCAGCAGCTGCTGCAGCAGCAGCAGCTGCAAGCAGCAACACCAAGACAGGTGATGCAGCAGCAGGGAGACGATTGTTAGGGGGGCTCTCCCCTCCTTGATTTTCCGGTTTTTTTTGCTTGTTTTATGCATTTATATTTATATATTTATTAATTTTTATTATTAATAATATAAATGAACAAAAAAGAACAGAAAGAACCGAAGAGAGACGTACACTCCAACCAGCGGGTTTCTAGGGAGACAGCCCCTAGGCCCACGATAAAGACATCAGATTAAAACAGACAAACAAAGAGATAAACTAACAATTAAAAACTATATTAAAATAAATAAACAAAAGAAATATAAAGAATAAAAAAGAAAATTAAGCCACCCCACCTCTGTCTCATCGTTACGTCCGTCGCAGCAGCACTAAGACCCGCAGCAGATTAATAGATGTAGAGCTAAATAATATTCTATTCAAAATAAATATAATAAATACAAACTATTTTAATTAAAAAGCGTAAAAGCAAAAGGCCCATCTAAAAAGAAACAGAGAAAAGAGATAAAAACTCAAAAATAAGAAACGCAATATAACGCAAGTATATTCTAAGAGACAAAAAAAAATAATAATATTTCAACCAAATAAACAAACAGATAAATCAACCAATTAATTAATATCCACTCTAAAAAGATTAAAGAAAGAAAACGTCTCTTCCGCAGAAAAGATAGAGAAATATATGTACATATATATATATATGTATATATGTATATATGTATATATGTATATATGTATATATGTATGTATGTATATATGTATGTATGTATACATATATATACATATATATATATATATATATATGTAAATGCATATATATATATACATATATATGTATATATATTTGTATGTATATGTATATGCATATATATGTATATATATATATATATATATACTCAAAAGAGACATGAAAAGAAATATATCTATCTCTTCATCTACATATATGTATGTTTATGAAGACTTAAAAGAAAAGTATTATCATTAAAAAGAGAAAAAGAAATATATGCACAAACATATATATATATATATAGTTATATCTATATTTACAAATATAGATATAAGTATATATATATATATATATATGAATTAAAAGAGTACTAGAGCAAAGATAGTAGCAAGAAGAGACAAGCGATGAATAAAAATATTTTATTTAAATGGAGACAAAAGAAAGAGACAGCCAGCGATTAAATTTGTATAAATATAAACAAAGAAAAAGCCTTTATCTAAATACCCAAGTATTTCTTACTTACAACTACTCTTTATTTATTTATTTATTTGTCTATTTGTTTATTTATTTATTTATTTTATTTATTTATTTATTTATTTATTTAATTTGTTTATTTATTTATTTATTTATTTAATATATTTTATTTAAAAGATAAAACAATCAAACAAAGTCGCCAGGGGATTTACAACATTTTGTCTGCGCTTTAAATAAATAAATAAATTATATATATGTAGATATATAAATATATATATATATGTATATATATATGTATATATATATATATGTATATATATATTACCTATATGCATACAAATATATTTTAATATATATACATACATATGTTTATTTATAAATATTAATATATACATAAATATATATGAATATATTAAAGTCTTTATATTAAAAATATATCCTTGAGTTGTATGTACACCTCAATCCCTCTATAAACAGAGCAGCAGCAGTATTAAAAAACAAACAGGCCGCTGTTGTTGCTGTCGTTATTGAGGGTTTAGGGTTTAGGGTTTAGGGTTACAGCTAGGGTTTAGGGTTGAAAGTTTAGGGGTTGCATAGGGTTTAGAGTTTGCATTAGCTTTCTGCATTACGGTTTAGGGTTTAGGGTTTAGGGTTTAGGGTTTATGCTATATGCAGACTACGTTCCTCACCTCCCTGTAGAGCAGCAAAAGGATGGTTTAGGGTTTAGGGTTTAGGGTTTAGGGTTTGGGGTTAGTAGAACCGGCTGAAGAGACAGAAGCAGTAAAAAAGCAAAGACAGACAAAGACAAAAAGAGTAAACAAACAAATAAAGAAGAAAAGAAAAGAGAAGCCCCAAACAATGAACTCCAAGATAGATAGAGGGCCATGGGTTTAGGGTTTAGGGTTTAGGGTTTAGGGTTTACAATGAACTCCAAGATAGATAGAGGGCCATGGGTTTAGGGTTTAGGGTTTAGGGTTTAGGGTTTAGGGTTTTAGCTCCGACGGCATACGGCTTGGCACTTTGGGTTTAGTGTTTACAGGTGGATGTACGGCAGCGAGAAATTATACTATGAGGGTTTAGGGTTTAGGGTTTAGGGGTTTGGGTTTAGAGTACTCGGCCTACGGGTTAGGGTTTAGGGTTTAGTGTTTAGAGTTTATTGTCTAGGTTCTTGGGTTTAAGGTTTAATGCTTACTGTTTAGGATTTAGGGTTTAGGGTTTAGGGTTTAGGGTTTTGTTGTATGGCGATGGTTCTTCAAGCAGGAGCAGAGGAAATGCATGCATCTTCTTAGTTAGACCATGAAATAAAATGTCTTAAGCTTCATTGCTCTAGGGTTTAGGGTTTAGGGTTTAGGGTTTAGGGTTTGCGTTTCAACAAATATGACAGTTGGAAGTGATGGCTGGCGCCCAGGTGACCGGGGCCCGGCGACC